TTTACATGTTTAGGCAAGCTGATGTGTGAAAAGAATTTGTATAAAGCATTCCCGAATTAAATCTAACTCTTAACTCTCATGAATTATGAAGATATTTCCAGGTAAAGCATATGAAGCCCTAGGTCTGCCTCTATTCAATTGAGCTACAAGTTATTTTTTTTCCGTCGGTCAATTATAAAACTTTACCTCCGGCAATTTATAATCACTTTCACTAGAGACAGAGATGTTTACCTTTTTTATGACTCTGTATTTTATATCGGCCCTCCGTTTTCTCTCCCTCCGGTCGCTGGTACGCAGTGCTTCTTCACTATTTTCACCAAGAGCAATGCTAGGGGCACTCGCCTCCTGCACTCTCCGGCCAACACTTTCTCTTTTATTGGGCCGCGTTATTTTGGTTCCGAAAAGTTGCCCCTGAAAGCTTGAAAGAAGCTTACGTGACCCAATGAAAGGGAAAGTGTTGGCCGGAGAGTGCAAAAAGCGAGTGCCCCTAGCAAAGCTCTTTTCACCAATGCCTCTTACTGGATCAGAACTGCCAATGGCAGTCTGACTGGCTTGCCTTTGATATGTCCCCAACTCTTTCATTGAATCTGTTGTTTGACCTAATTGTTTCTGCGGATCATGCTGATTGCTTTGATCCGTGGAAATACTCTGAAGCAGCTCGTTGAAATTATTATCATCAGGATTCACTGCTTCAAATTAAGACGTTTATATATTAAAATTAAAAGGAAAAAAGTGAAATTTATACAGGGATCAAAGATTTATTACAAAAATGTTAGTACGAGGACAAGTAAAGAATTTTTTTTTTTTTTCTCATGGGATTAAAATTTTACACTTACAGAATTATACTCTCTACGATTGGGCTGCCCATTCTTCAGAGTTCGCCTTTGATTTTATTTTAGCTGGGTCGATCGCGAAAATCAAATATATAGGACCTTCCGAATATTCGTCGGATTGCCCATTCTTTGCGTGCAACTTTTATTTTCAAACAAGTCAACAGCCGCGTGGCAGTGTTTTTTTTTTTTTTTTTAATGACCGCCGCGTAGGGGCCGTGTTGAATGCGTGGCATGGAAGTTTCAAGCAACTTTCGACGAGTAAAGGTGCAAATAAGGATTTCAACTTTGTATTTTTTTTTATTTAAAGATGTTAACTTTGACAGTTTCTAAATAAAGATGTCAATTTTTAATTTTTTTCTAAATAAAGATGTTAACTTTGTCAGTTTCTAAATAAGAATGTCAACTTTTAACTTTTTTTTATTTAAGAATGTCAACTTTCAACTTTTTCTATTTAAGGATTAATTGAATAGTGATGTTTACGTGGCTAATATATTTTTTAGGTTAAATACCTGAATTGGTCCCTCAACTTTTATTTTTGAACCAATTCATCCTTGAACTT